CAAAATGTACTTTTAGAGTTTTGGCTAGCCTCTACTTGTAAATAAAAATATATGTTTTGAAAAGCACTGATGTTTGTAATTGCACATAACTAGATGAGCTAAATCAGGTAATGGTGAAGGTAATGCTAACTAACTGAAATAGCAATATCTGCCATCTTGGCCTTTGATGGCCTTTGATAGTTATAGGTATTATGCTAGTTTGGGCAAGCTAGCTCGAGCTCCTGACTCAAAATCGTGGGATTAATGAGATTAAGTTGTTGTAAAATTTGATTTTTATAATGCATTAGAATATCATTTATTTCAGAATACTACACAAAACACACATTAGTATATGTGTACATGTATGTGTTACAAATAAAGCTCTGATAGGCAGCGCTCTTTGTCTCTGTATCACAGTATTCTGGTTCATTTGCTGTTTCCAGTTCATTTATTTTTAGCTCTTTAGAGCATTAAAATGCAGCTTTTCATTTTTTTTCTGTCGTAAACTTGAAGTCCTCGAGGTGGCCCGGCAGCAGACATACCATGCAACCTGTAATATTGTGGCTCAGTGCACTTCCTCTCTCTTCTCGACACCCTGTGTTTTCACTTGTCATTTTGTCGTATTGTCAAACAACAACAAAAAGTTTCAGTTGCAGTCGCTTTTTACGATATGCAGACGACCCCTCCTTATTTCAATAGAGAACCACTGACACACTAAACTACACGATGAGAAAAGTGTGAATATCATTCCTCTGGTGGAGCTGCACAATCCTCAACTCTTTTGATGTGAGCTCAGGGAGAGAATAGATAAGAATAACTTCTTACACTGTGCTTATTGCCACTGTTTTCTGTTTGTGCACGGCATGAAAAATTGAGCAATTCTGTACGCACTCTAAAGCCAAAGAGCAATTTGATTTGGGACCAAATTGGCATTTAGAGTACTTTCAGAAAAAAGAATTTGAAAAAGCACCTCTCGTTCCCCTCCCATTATGGCGGCAGCAGTTGGGGGAGGACAGGCTCTTAACTTCCCTCCTTAGCACCAGCTTGGTCACAGCGCAGTGATCTAAGAATCCCTTTTAAATGTCTTGCTGTGGAAACCCAGGCTCTCTTTTCCTTGCCTGTTGGCACATGCCTGCATGTCTCTGCATGGGTGCATTTCATTGCATGCATCATGTGATTGTTTATCCTCTTTAAAGCTTTTCTACTTTTGTGTGGATATGTATTTTCCAGCAGAGTGTATCACACTAAATAAACAACACAGAATTTGCATGAATGTGTGAGGTCAACCCCCATTTTGTTTGAATGTCTGTTTTGGTTCCAGTGCACCCCCACGTATCTCTTGTACGTGTGCAAATGTACATTTCATTTTGACTTCACGTTATTGGACATTACAGAAAAAACTAACTGAAACAATTTTATAACTGAAAACTAACTGAAATATGATTCTATTATTTAACATCTATTCTATTCTAGCAATTTATTGTGCTGTTAGAAAGAAATCGTAATATTTAATTTGATTTAAAATATCATATTCCCTGATTTTTAAGTGTGTCATTATGCAGAATTACCCTTTAAAATTTAGTTTTATGTATATTATTGTTTTATTGCCACTGAGTCATTTGCATGAGTAGCAATTTAATACTGTAGTAAGTTGAGCTATTTTATCATCTATTATCTGTAACAATACATGGCTATGTCATTTACGAAGCTGCAATACTTGTGAGTGACATTTAGCAAAATTAATATATAAAGTAGTTGTGTAAAATGTGTAAAATGTATATTTTAGAGTAGTTTTGAAGATTTGAATAATGCTAAGGGGCAAAACAACATAACATCAGTGCAGCGCGTGAAGTGTAAAAGGTCACCGTGCACTTTCAGAGGCAATGCAAATAGCCTGCATGTGCAAATAACCTGCATTTGTTTCCTCTCGGTGTAACTTGTGATAAAACCCTTATTTAATGCCACATCAGACGTTTGCAGTGGTGCATGTTGACGCACACCAGTGCAACCTCTGCTGCAGTTTCTGAACATTATATAACATCATTGCTCTCGGTTGAGGCTGATAATGCTTGAAAACTGTGCATGTGAGCTCTGAATCCAACTGTCGCCCCCTTTAAACAGCAGAGATTTCCAGTGTGTATTCTCCTTTTATTGCTTTTCATTTGCATATAAATTAAATCCATATTGTGCCTGCGAGGCAGTCTATGCTAACTATGCAAACGATCCCCGGCTTTTCTTTGTTTTACAGATAAACCCTCGGCTTCCTCCTAAATGACAAGGTGGGAGGGGGGGAGAGAGAGGAATCCTCTCGCTGTTTCATAATTGTATGAATTTTAAATACACTGTCATAAGACCCTCTTCCGCATTCACAGCAGGGAATCAGACTTTCATTATAATATTAGAGCTACAGAGTTAGCTGACCGTGAAGAGGCACGGAGGCCTCCTCTTCACCTCTGCTCACACATGCAGCCCAGATGGCCTCATGCAGACACTGGATTCAGAAACAATAGACCTGTGTGTTTTCTAAACATCTAACTTCATCCATAAAAAACATCGTAATATGAAGTTATATTAAGTGTGTTGAGCTTATGAGGATATGTTTAGTTGCAGATTTTATTAGGGTTTAGCATTATGGCCAAAATGATATCAATTTTTTAAATTTAATTATCAGCAGATAACTATAATTATTACAATAAGTGTTAAAATTATTATTCATTTATTAAGATCAAGGACTGATTTTTAAGGTTGTGGTAAACAGCAAAATATTTTACAAAGCTTTCGATCAATAATGTGTTAAACCTCCTCACTGAGCTTCCACAATGTGTAAGAAATACATTAATATATATATAGTGAACCTTTATTGCTATTGATTAGAATTACATTGCAATAATTATTATTATATAGTTTTATTGCCCAGCACTATTGTACATCGTAAAAAAACAAACCCTCAAATTACCATTTGACAGCTTTAAGATGAAATTAGATTTTGTGTCAAACTGAAATCAAGTCCTATGAATATTCATTCATATGTTTAAGTGAAGAGTGGCATTAATTTTGTGCTGATATTACTGTGGGTCCCTCTGGAAACCTTTTCAAGGACCCCGAGAGGTTTCCGATGCTGCAGGGGAGAATAGCCCCTGCTTTAAAAAGACGGATTTCCTGAGGCAAAGCTTGGCTGCTGCAACATGGAAGACAATGATCAGTGTATGAACTATTTTCAAATAATAATCCATAACCTGAGCAAGCCAGTTTTTATTCCCTCTTTTGTGACTGAAGCATTTTCCCTCAGTTTCATTTAGCTGTAAAGTCTTCTGAGAATCAGGCTCATAATGAGTATAGTCTTCATAAATAGACCCAAACATACAGATAAATAGGATGAACGTTCATTCAATCTTGTGGGATAAGATGCCTACAACCAAAACAGCGACTCCCAGCTCCTCATCATTGAAATCAATTATGTTCTGTGCGCTTATTAAATCTCTGCTCTGCAGGCCGAGCTGAACCTGAACGCATCATCATCATTATCAGCAGCAGCTCTTGAAATAATTAGAAAAGAAACTCGGAGGCCGTGAACGCAGCCTCGTTAGCTCTTAATTAAATAATCCGCTCAGTTGTATAGAAGCGACGGAACAAACAGGAATCATATAAATCACAGACACGTCGGTCGTGCGTGTCGGAGGTTTGATCACCGCAACATGGCGCCGCCTCCGTAATCCACTCGCATTTTCATGAATTTAACATTAAAATGAAGGTCAGCTCTATTCTACGGCGAATTTATACGTGTTAGTAAAACAATCTGGATTATAATATATTAAAGAATAAATCGTCAAGTTTCACTCTCCACCATGTGACTTATTATTAAGGTTATTCATATTTCAATCCCTGGTTTGAACATTAAATATTAGTCTGAATCAATGCAAATAACAGAAATCTTAATTGGATGATCTAAGTGAAAGTATATAAGGCAAATGGAAAATGTTAATTCAGAAATAAAGAAAGAGAGAAGTTTTTAGGTTTGGGTTTTGTTTGTCACTAATGTAAATACATTGAATTAATT